TTTCTGAATAAAGTGTCCAGGATTCGGTTTGAAGTCTATACTATTGTCATGCAACAAACTTTAATTTTTTCTCCAGTCTACTAAAGAATTTAATTAATAAAATTCCTAATGAAAAAGTATTTTCTATTATGAGGAAAAAAATGTTACAGTTAGAATTTTTGAGGTAAGACTCCATTAAGAGTGTATCAGTCAAAACAATGAGGGTGTTTCAGTCACTTAATGAAGGTTATGTGTCATTTGAGACACCCTAAGGAAACATGTTTGACCTCCAAGTGCCGTTCTGCAGGTCCTTCGTGCTGCCCCTTTAAGGATAGGTCTGATACCTCAGTGTTAGGCATCCACCTGTGGGCTACTGAATCAATTTCTAAATCTTTAAGGACTTGTATGAAAACTTATGTACTTGGGGCGCAACTTATCCCACGTGCCTGAAATAACAACATACACTAGCTGAGTCATTCAGATTGAGTGGTCATATACGGTGTAAAACAAGCAAGTGTCATCCTGCCAGTGTAAGCAATAGGGAGTCGGCAAAATATTCTAGAGCATTAAATGTCACTGAGTGCTTATAAGTCAACAACTGAATCAATACCATTTGTAAAGTCATCTACATTTAGGTGACTCAGTTGTGAACTGGATCCTGTCCTTGAAGTTTAATCTGTCAATACAAAGGCTATCTCACTAAAATATTGAGCTGAAAGCCACAATGCAGATGCGGCTCATATACATCGAGATTTGGTTCTGAAGGATTTTTGTGATTTTTAAGTTTAGCAATCTCAGAGTAGATGCAGAATTGCCTTTATCATGAAATGGATTAGTGAATTTGGAGTAGGCTTCCCAGCCTACTCTCCTATATTCTACCTCAACAACCTGTCACTGTATTTCTCACCTTGCTAAATTAGAGATGATCATTCTTCCTGACTCGATAAGTCACCCAATTTACCTTAGCATTAGAGGAGGGTTGCACAAAGTGTCCCTTCTCCAGTCATAGAATGAGCCTACTGGGCATCTGAAGGTCCCAAGCCTACCCTGGAGGGAATGCTTCTGCACACAGGTAGCAAATCTGTCCTTTCCAAAGGGCCAGATGTGCAGGAGGCTGTGCATCCCATGAGGTGCAGGACAGAGGGCTCTCCCAGGAACTACAAAAATCAGGGCTGCACAGCAGCTTGGTAGAGCAAACCGCAACAGCTGCACCTGCTGCCACCTCTCTCTGGGCTGCTCCTTCACCACATGCCTAAGCAGAGATAGGTTGAGCGCCTATGTACTAAACTAAAGTAAACTCTGTGTGCTCTCACTATGTTACAGATGAACATAACATTTTGCCAAGTAGAAAACACTACTAAGTTCTTTGAGTGCAGAGCTAATTCGCTATAACGCACCTTCTATGCAACAGCCATAAAGCCAATACAGTCACGTTACAGCAAAGTAAGCATAGACACATAAAAACTGAAGAAAGAGCGGGCAAATCAACTTGTGCTATTTGGCTGCAGGCAAAAATTAAAGCGAGCCATGCTGAAAACTTGTAAACTTTTCTTATGCTGCCATGACACCTGTCTCAGAAGACTGAAAAGCCTGAGAGCACCAGTTGCAAAAGCTTTTTAGTTTAATGTTGGAAAAGATGCCTGCAACCAAAGAGGGCAATGAAGAGGTGAAAAAGTCTCTGGCTGGCATTTGCAACATGACTATAATACAGAGAAGGGCAAAATAACACAATTCTTATTCTAGTTGAGTATGTTTTCTTTGTGTGTGAGGTCATATGCTCATAGATTCTACATACATTGCCCTGGCAGGCCAGTATTAAGAATCATGGTTCTAATCTGCCTTCAGCAATCATGTGTGCAGCTCCCAGTGGAGACAATGAGAGATGGGCATGATAAGGCAGAATTCACCATATATTCTTCTTCAAACCAAATTCTGATATATTTCTCTTGCACTGTGATTTCAAAACTTTGAAAGGAAACACTTTTGGTCAAGAAGTGCCGCTTTCAAATAATTGCATTTATCTCAAAATGACATGCTGCATAAACATAGGGCATGCTTCGGAATCTTAATTCAGCTTTTTGGTTTTGAAAATGATCCCACCAGTCCTTTCAGTACAGGGACTGGAAAAGTTCTTTTGAAGATAACATTTATTATGCACATCAAAATGCTTCAATGCAAACAGGACAGGCAAGATAACACATTTTAAAAGCTTTCTTGTTTTCCCTTTTTTTCTTTCTGGCAAACAAGAACGTTTTATATTACTTTTCATTATTATTTTTTACTCTCTTCTCCTAAGCTTGGAGCTATTTATGGAAATTACAGTATTCATGTATGGTAGCTTCAGTCAAAGATATCAGGATTGGTATGAGAGGAAAATTTCGACTGAAAGCTTGTTATTCACATCGTTCTCTTCTCAGCTTGGCAAAGTTGAAGGTTAACGTCATCTGTTCTAGACATTTCAGATTAGTCACAGAACTTTTCTTGGTGGTTCAGTGCCTGGTCATCCAGTCAGAGGAACAGTAATCCATATGGAAAAATTAGCTCAATGCTACTAGACTGGTGGTTAATACTTGAGCCTTAGTTAGGAATGTTCGCAGCATCTTGGGACTCTTTTCTTCCTTGATCAATTTCTTAAAATAGGATTCTTCATCAGAGGCTGAAAAGAGGAGGACTGTACTGAAGTACATTTTTTTTCCATCACCACGTCTTTTTTTTTTTTTTTTTAGGAAAAAGATACATATATTTTAAATGTCCCATGCAAATAAAATAAAATAAAATAAAATAAAATAAAATAAAATAAAAATTTACACAATTTGGTTAGGAGTCACATTCTGAATTCCTGCATTGTAGTTTGGTTGGTTTGCATCCTGGAATTATAATCTTCAACAGGAGATTTGTTAAGACATACTTAATGTATAAATGCTGATACACATTGCTGGAATCTGGTAACTAACTGCATTTTTGAATAAGAAATGTTTTGACACTATCTTTTGGATTATTTTCAACTCTGTATTAAATTAGAAACCTTATTGCTTAACAGCACATACGGAATATTCCTTCTCATTTGAGACACAGTTTATTCTAAAGGGTTAAAATGTCTTGTCTAAATGAAGCAGGTGAAAAGGGCAGTGAACTGAGATGTAAAATCGTAAAAGCGGTCAAGTAAAGGTCACCCTTTGCCACTTGGCTTTGACAAACAACAACTTAAAAGGGCATGCCTGAGAGAAAAATATTAAATATTTTGTTCAAAATACAGATTTGTAAGAAACAATGGTTTAGAAAAACTATGTATTAAAAATGTAATTGAATGAAGCAACTGCATTCTCCTTAGCAACTGCTCTTTAAAAACACCAATAACACTGGAAAATCAACACCCAAATCTATTTAGATTTTATTAAAATGGAAATTTTACTGAAATGCTGAGTAAACATATTAAGAAATATGTTCAAAATGCATCTACTAAATTCATGTTTCCATTTACTATTAAAAGTAGATAATCCAGTTCCAATTGGCTGATTGCACTATACTACTTAGAACCCTGGCTTTTGCTAATGTCAATTTTTAATTTAAAATATATCAATAAAAAGGGACACTGGCATAACAGATATTTTATATCCTCTGTAAAATTCTTTCAGTTACATGTTTTGGCTTTTCTTTTGTTCCAGTTTCTTTTGAGTCAAGATTTATCAATTAGAGGTTGAAATAATTCACTTCTATTTCTGATACTTATTAAAAAATGGAAAAGACTGAATATGGAAAAAATATTACCTCAATTTAATTTTAAAAACCTGATTTCACATGAATCATTATATTAAATGCGTACAAAAAAAGCTCTGTACAGACATGAAGGTCAAGATAATTAAGATATACAGCTCTCACCCTCCCACTAACCTAGGAACTGGCAGACTAAATTAGACCATAACTAGAAAGGAGATTGTGTCACAGACTGGTATAAGCATTAAAAAAAAAAGAAACACCTTACCAAAATTGTAGTGACAACTACTGTTCTATTCTCAATGGCTGAAGTGTCATTTCCAAGTGTAGGTTCATGCTGAATCAAAACTAATTTATCCATGTCATTCCAGTAACCAACCTGCAAAAGAAAACGTATATAGTTTACAGTAGAAATAATGATTTACAGTAGAAGTCTACATTTCATATAATTAAAAATGTAAATTATATATAATTACATATGTTGCAATTAATTAGTTGGTATTACAATTATTCCATCTATACAATTATTAATATTTTTATATAAAATAAAATGTAAGTTCCATATAATTACAAATATAAATGATTATAAGAACACAGTGATTTTAAGATATTTTTGTACCAGATAAAGTGTTGTTACACTCATAGACAGGCGCATGGTGGTACATATCTAACACTTTGGGTATACCGTCTTGCACCACTGCTGCACGGAGACCTGGTATTGCTGCCACTCAGCTGTTCCTGAATGATCTAAGCTACTTACTTCAACCAGAGACACAAGTTAAATTCCATTTTCGATTTTTGAAGCCTTCCTGGGGCATAAATGAGTTATAAGAATTTTTGGTCTCCACAAGAAAATTATTCACGAATCCTCCAGATCTTCTAGTCTTAGGCAGAGGAGTGAAAGACACCAGAATCACAGCTTTGCAATTCAATGGCTGATCTCAGTTCCTTGCTCCATCGAGGGCCTCCCAGGAGACTCCAACTCAGGGATTTACACCAGGCTTGTTCCACTTAACTGCTGGCACTGACCTTTAGTACCTACATTAGATGTTGTTATAAGCCCTGTTGTTATAGGTTTCTTTACACTCACTGGACAGATCGGCACCAGCAGACGGTGACTCAGCTCAGGCAAGACAAGCATCTCTCCTGGAAAAGTGCTTGCTTTCCCCACTGGCTCTAAAGCATAGTAAGAGTGACTTCACTCTAAAAGTATCTCTGGTAAGTGCCTACAGTGAGGTGAAAGAAATCACGTTTTCCTCTCCCTGGCTCCATTATAGACTGCCACAGTCCTTCACAGAGAAGCCTTAGGGCGAGATAGCTGCCTTTGTTCATTGCTGTCAATGAACTACACTAGAGCCAGGTTTGAATCACTCGTTCTTGTATTCCCATGGAGAGAAACAAAACAAAACAAAACAAAAACCGTGGTATGCTGGCAATCAGAAACCTTCCCTTGTGCACAGCCATCGCTCTCTGCAGTGCACACCTCTGATACTCAGAACAGCCTACAGCTGTGCCCTGTGCACTGGTAGTGATGTTGCTGGGCACAAGACATGAGTCAGCATCCTTTCCTGTGAGGGTCCAGGGATGCAGTGCTTGCTGTAAGACCAGATAGGATGAAGGCAGGCTGTGAATCACAGAATCACAGAATCACAGAA